ATGTATAGCAATTGAATGTATGAATAATAATCATTTTAAAAAAAGAAATAAAACAAAGCAGTCATTAAATACGAGCCTTAATTTTAGATCATTAGATGCTAATTGCTATGAAAGTTTCCTGTCATAGACCAGCAAGGGTTGGTGAACCACGCTGAGGTGGCATTGGGATAGAGAGAGGGAAGGCAGGAATCTAGAAATGCCATCTTGTAGTTGGGGCCATCTCCTGTGAACAGGGACCATATCTCATGTGCCTCCTGTCACCTTCATCTCCTCAAAGACTGAACACGCAGCAGTTGCCCCAGGAGCCGTCGACTCCAGCCAGTGACTGCCCTGCACCTTCTCTGGCCCACCATGAAGCCCCAGTCTGTTCTGCACAGTGGCTACTTCCACCCTCTGCTCCGGACCTGGCAGACAGCCACCACCACCCTCAAAGCCTCCAACCTCATCTACCCCATCTTTGTCACGTGAGTCCACAGGAATGGGCCAGGCCTCTGGTCTGCCTTTGGCAGCAGGGAGGGTGACGCAAGTTCACTGGAGTGGGCATCAGTATTTCTGAAGGGGAGAAAGTTGATTATCAGCTTGGAATTCAAGGCATTGAGAGTGGCCTAGTGGGTTAAAAAATAGCAAAATTAGAGACAAACTTTGTGGGCCAGCCAGTGGTATGGTGGTTAAGGCAGCTAGATCCTACATGGCCAACTGTGCAGTTCAAATCTCAGACCTCAGTTCTTGAAAAACATACAAGGTGTGTGTGCGTGTGCGTGTGTGTGTGTGTGCGTGTGCGTGTGCGTGTGTGTGTGTGCATGCGTGCATGCATTCGCCCAAAATCCATAGGGAGGCACAAGTAGAGAAGAGATTGTAGCGTGACCATGTCCTGCAGGGTGATTTCTCCCTTTCCTTCTCACTCTGTCTCTTTGTGGTGAGCACACATGCCCTGTGGCAAAATTTTTTTAAAAAAAAACCTTGGAAAGAACTTAGTCATCCTATTTGAAAATAAGAGTTACCTTTGCCTGCCAACCCAAGCTTTTGCAGTAAGACAGAAACTGAGAAGGTGCTCTGTAGATTGTCAAGTGCTGTGGATGCGTAGGAAGTGGCAGTAGTTGGGGCCAGCAGGTGCCATGGAGGTTAAGGGACTAGACTCCCACATGGTTGACTGTGGTTCAGGTTCCGAACCTAGTGGCTTGAAAATCATGCCAGGTGTGTGAGTGTGATGTGCCCAGAATCCTGAGAAAAGAATGGAGGAGAAGGGCTTGCCTCCATCTCGCATAGGGAGTGATTTCTCCCTTTCCCTCTCTCTGTCTCTAGCAAGCACGTGCACCCCATGTCAAAAACCTTAAAAAAGAAGTGACAATAGTGATTATCAATAATAGCAATAGCAGTCATTTATGAGTACTTACTGTATACCAGGTACCGTGCTGAGCACCCACGTATGTAATCTCATCCCGTCCTAACAGCATTCTGATGAGAAAGGAGTAGAAAATACTCCTAGATTGTCAGCTCCTTGAAGGCAGGGATCTTTGGTCACTGTTGGATCGTCAAAACTTAAAACAGTATCTGGCATATAGTAAGTGTTCAATAAATGTGTATGAATGAAGGAATCCACCCAGGAGACAGATGGAGGGTCTGGGGTACAAAGAGACACCTTGGCCAGGGTCACCCGGTCAGTAAGTGGCTGGGATCAGAAACGAGGCCCTACTGACTTCAGAGTCCAAGTACTTTTTTTTTTTTTTTTATGAATTATTTAGTTTTATTTATTTTAAATTTGCTATAGGCATGTGTGCTCACTAGAGAGAGAGAGTGAGAAAGCAAGGCTTTAGAGCCAGGACTTGAACCATGGTTGACCATGTGGGAGTCCAGCGCTTTTAAGCGCCGTGCCACCTGCTGGCCGCCCCAAAATCCAAGTTCTGAACCACCTGACTCCTTCCTGTGCTTGCTGTTCTTTGAGCACAGTTGCTCCTGTTGCCATTATTGTTCTTGTTGTTCCTGTTATTATTTCAGGCCCTGGGCTTGGCCAGGCTGGGGAGCCAGACACTGGAGCCCATCCTCCTCCCACCATCTCCATGCCCATATTCCTTCCCAGCTCCCCACACATCCCTCCCCGTCACCGCCCCACCCCCGACCCTTCCCACAGCTACCAATCCATTGCCCACCCCCGCTCTTGCAGGGATGTTCCCGATGATGTCCAGCCTATCGCCAGCCTCCCTGGAGTGGCCAGGTAGGAGACCTGGGGAGGGGGGGCAAGGGGATGGTGGAGGGAGGGTTCACAAGTGCAGGTGCCGGGGCAGAAGTAGACCCAGGAGGTAGGAGATCCAGAGAGGCAGACGTGGTGGAGAGAAGGTTTCCTCGGGATCAAAGCTGTGCTCAATACAAGAGGCAGCCTCGTAACGTAATGTGCTACCCGTCATGGGGCTTCGGAGCAAAGGTAGTTGCAGAAGGGAGCCACACTTCAGATGGGAGTGCGGAGAACCTCAGTGGGACCTTCCACAGCTCCGCTCTTGGGGCCTTGGTTTTCCCACCTGATGGATGGGTACGTTCCAGCCCCTCCCTGTACTGTGGGGCTTGAGCCCTCCGCGCCCTCCTGGTGCCATGTGCACCTTGGCTTCTAACAGAGGCATAGAGCGGAAGGTCTGGGGGACTCTTGCCTGGGACCTGCCTCCCCCAGCCCCTACACCCCACCCACCCAGGTATGGTGTGAACCGACTAGAAGAAATGCTGAAGCCCCTGGTGGAAGAGGGCCTGCGCTGTGTCCTGATCTTTGGCGTCCCCAGCAAAGTTCCCAAGGTGAAGAATTGGAGGGAGGGTAAAGACAAGGGGGCGGGCAGGAGTTCGGCCACATCCTCATGCCTACCGCATGCTGGCCCTGGGGCCACAGGTGGAAGACTGCGGTCCTGCCCTGTTGGGGAGGGGCCTAATTAGCATTGTGACTTCTTGACTGGACAAATCAGGTTCCCTCTCTGGGCCTCTGTGGCACCCTTTGTAGACGGTGACAGTTTTCTGTGCTTCCTCATCCAGGGCTGCACTCTGTCATGGCTGTCCTTCCCAAGGGCATCCTGTAACTTGTCCTTCCCTGTCCCTAGGATGAACGGGGCTCTGCAGCCGACTCCGAGGATTCTCCGGCGATTGAGGCCATCCATCTGTTGAGGAAGACCTTCCCCGACCTCCTGGTGGCCTGCGACGTCTGCCTGTGTCCCTACACCTCTCACGGTCACTGTGGTAAGCTACCCCCACCCTCCAGCCCTACTGCCACCCGCATTCCCACTGCCCACTTCTCCCCAGGGTGGGGACAGGCCAGGGCCCACAGGGTTCCCCACAACCCAGCCATCTCTCCTGCAGGGCTCCTGAGTGAAAACGGAGCATTCCGGGCGGAGGAGAGCCGCCAGCGGTTGGCAGAGGTGGCATTGTCCTATGCCAAGGCAGGTGAGAAAGCCACCAGCAGGGATTGGCACCTCTGGGCCAGGGAGGTGGCACAGAGGGTCCAAGGGGCCCCGAGTTCTGAAGGCTACCTTCTGCCCCCAGGGTGTCAGATCGTAGCACCATCAGACATGATGGATGGACGTGTGGAAGCCATCAAGGAGGCCCTGATGGCACATGGACTCGGCAACAGGGTACAGGCAGGGAGTGCAGGGAGGGGATGGGGAGGGGAGAACCAGCCGTGCCCCGGAATCTGCCAAGATTCACTGAGGGGAGATAGCACTGGACAAGGCCTTGGGGAGCCATCTCAGCTTGGGCAGCTCAGAGGGGGAAATCAAGCCCACGGCCCCAGGGAGACGATAGGCGCTCTGCTTCCCACCCACAGCACCCTGGCACATCCGCCAGGGGCCGACTAAGCTTGTGCCTCCGCCCTCTCCCACAGGTGTCAGTGATGAGCTATAGCGCCAAATTTGCTTCCTGCTTCTACGGACCTTTCCGGTGAGTGGGGATGGGCAGGGATCTGCTGGTAAATCCCTGGCCCGTTAGCCCCAAACTGGAGCCTGCCCTAATGACTCTGCCCCACAGGGATGCGGCTCAGTCAAGCCCAGCTTTTGGAGACCGCCGCTGCTACCAGCTGCCCCCTGGAGCACGAGGCCTGGCCCTCCGTGCAGTGGTGAGTGACCAGGGCTTGGGGGCTTCCCCACCTGAATCCCTCCCATGCCCTTTCTGGGGACAGCCCACGCTATACCCTCATCCCCTAGGACCGGGATGTACGGGAAGGTGCCGACATGCTCATGGTGAAGCCGGGAATGCCCTACCTGGACATCGTGCGGCAAGTGAAGGACAAGGTGAGACAGAGCAAAGGGGAAGGGGTTCAGAGGGATGGAAGAGTCTGTCCACAGACTCAGGCACCTTGGATGAAGGGACTCTGGGACCTCAGAGTTGGAAACAACTGCCCCTGGACAGGAATTCTCTCCTGCCCAGGAAACCCTCTGGCTGGCTATGCCTGGCTCACAGGAACTTTTAAACAACTCTGGTTTACCAGTTCCAGAACAGGCCAGGGTCCAGCAGAATCAATAGCATTACCAGATTGCAGACTTGGAGGCCACGTGCCAGCTACAGTTCAAGTCCCCAACCCAGTCAGCCTGAAAACACCAGGCACAGACGCATGTGCTCGGGTTCTCCTGGCAGTCCGGAGAACAAGAGGAAGAGGGTCACTCAGGACTGAGCCCCAGGGAGAGTCCTTTTCTCTCTCTCTTTTTACCGTTTTAAGATTTATTTGGGGGGGGGGGAAACCGCAGAGGGGGAGGGGGTTATTTCGTTTTAAGATTTATTTGGGGGGGGGGGAACCAGCAGATGGTGTAGTGGTTATGTCACCGGACTCCCACATGGACTACTATGGTTTGAGTCCTGGACACAGCAGCTTGAGACTCAAGCCAGGCACATGTGCATGCGTGCATGCCTAAAATCCTGAGAGGAGAGAGGAGGAGAAGAGGTTGTGATGTGACCATCAGCCCTCTGGGAGATGATTTCTCACTTTCTGTTTCTCTGTCTGTCTCTTTCTGGTGAGTGCATATATATGCCCCATAACAAAAATATCTCTCAGAAGAAAAAAATAATTTTTCTCATGAGAGAGAGAGAGAGAGAGACCCCCAGTAAGGCCTCACAGTGCGTCCACTTCGAGTCTCAGCCAACCCGGATCACAGGCCCACACGTTTGCCCAGCATGCTCAGGGATGATGTCCCGGGATACAAACCCAGGACCTTTCCCATATGGGGCCAACTGCATTACCACTGCACCACTGCTGGCTTCTCTCTTGCATGTACTCTATCAGGGATTTAAAAAAATGAAAAACAAAAAACGGGCAGCAGTGGGTCGGAGCCCAGGTTGGCAGGGAGGAAGGGACACTGCAGAGGCACCTCCAGCTTCTGTTGAGCCTGTTCACATCACTGCTTCTCCGCAGCATCCTGAGCTCCCTCTTGCTGTGTACCACGTCTCTGGAGAGTTCGCCATGCTGTGGCATGGAGCCCAGGCCGGGGCCTTTGATCTCAAGGCTGCAGTACTGGAGGCCATGACCGCCTTCCGCAGAGCAGGTAAGCAGGGGTGGAGGGTCGACCTATGCCCCAGAGACTGATAAGGAACTGAAGTCATGTGACAGCTGGAGCCTTAGGCCTGGAAATACTAGTGATTTAAAGAGCACGACTTGAGGAAGGTATTTAACCTATAGAACAGGACGTGGAACAATGAAGAAAGCAGAGCTCTGTATTCCAGTTTGACCGTGAGAACTTGGGCAAGACACTTCTCTGAACCTCAGTGTCTTCATCTATAAACCATGGGCAAAATACCTAGTGCACGGCTGTCCTGAGGATTCCGTGAGAGAATATGTATAAAGGGTATATTCCTATCACTCTATCAAAGGGACCTGGTTTTATTAATAAAGCACACCAGCATGAGAACAGAACTTAAAGCTTTCCTACTCCCGGGGACCAGCAGCTGGCATAATGATTATGTCACTGAACTCCCATAGAGTCGACCGCTGTTCCAGTCCTGGACCCGGTGGCTTAAACTCATGTGAGGTGCTTGTACATGCGTGCCCAAGATCCCAAGCGGAGAAGGGATTGTGGTGTGGCCATCCCCCCCGCCCCCCCGGGGTGATTTCTCGCTTTCTGTCTCTCTGTCTTTCTGACAAGTGCACGCACCCTATAGCAAAAACCTCTCCCCCAAAAAAAGAAAAAAAGCTTCCCCACTCCCTCCACTGTACATTGTTTCTTTAACTTAAGTTTATTTATTTATTTCATTTGCTATAGGCATGTGTGCTTACCAGAGGGAGAGAGAGAAGGAAAGTAAGAAAGCAAGCCGCCAGGTCTGGAACTTGAACCATGGTCGGCCATGCCATGCCACCTGCTGGCCCCTCTATTTTCCTTTTTTTTTTTTTTTTTAAGTTTTTTGTCATCGAGTGCATGCACTCACCAGAGAAAGAGAATGTGAGAAATCATCCCCCAGGGCAAATGGCCACACCATAATCCCTTCTCCTCCATTCTCTTGGGGTTTTGGGCATGCATGCAACATGCCTAGTGTGATTTTCAAGCCCCATCTCCCATCCAGGACTCAACCTGTAGTTAGCCCTATGGGTATCCAGCACCTCTTGGCCCCAACTGGCTATTTTTTTTTTAAGTTTCTGTTTATTTCTTCCATGAGAGAGAGAGACATAGAGTCAGGAACTGCCAATAGGGTCTTCATACGTGATCCCCAATCTTGGCCAACCTGGATCACTTGCTTGCATACCTGTGTGCTCAGGGCGATCCAGGACACAAAACTAGGGCCTCCCACATGAGTCCAGTTATTTTACCACTGCCTTCCACCCCCACCCCCAAACTCTGCATTTCAGACATTGGCAAATCAACAAGACCCTTTCTTCAATACATATTGGCAAGCATAGAAGATTATATATTAAGTTAAATAAGTCAGACTATGAAAGACAAACACTATTTGCTCCTTCTCAGTGTATACTGAACATTTGTACTCTATGGCAGAAATTGAAAGATTTGAAGATACAGTAGTAAAAAGGGAAAGTGTAGATAACAGAGGCTTTATAATAACGGAGTGGGGGATGTACAGTGAATTATGGGTGGAAGAGGCCCAGAAAAAAAGGTATTTAATAGGCATGAGAATATAAGGTTCTTTGTTAGAAACAATATATGTAGTAATATCCTTGATTTGATAATACACATTGCATGTATGCTTTGAAAAAACATATTATACACCATAAAGATATGCAATAATTAAATGAAAATAAGAAATTATAAAATAAAAAATATCTGACAATAATAATAGAAAAGGCTATAAACTTGGTAAATGGAGATAAAATGGTCCATGTATCTTTTATTTTCTGGAAAGTAATCAAATTAAAAATTAAAATACCCTTAAAATAAGGATTTAAGTACAATCTCTAATATAATCAATAAACAAAATAGCAAAGCATAATTACCCAACTAGCCAGGGATGGGAGAAAAATTCATGAAAATATTCATTTAGTGAAAAATAAGTAAAGAAAGGAGAAGTAACACAAACTGCATAGAACAAATAGGAAATAAATAGCTGACAATAAATAAAAGCTTAAAGTATCAGCAATTGCACTAAATATAAATGGAATAAATATACGGTTATGAAAACAAAGATGTTGATGATTTATTTAAGAATTATGTTATTTAGTTTTATTTATTTATTTTATTTTATTTTGACTAGAGGGAGACAGAGAGAGAGAGAGAAAGTGAGAAAGCAAGCCACCAGGTCCAGGACTTGAACCCTGGTCAGCCATGCGGGAGTGTCCAGCACCTTAACCACCACTCCACCTGCTGGTTCCCACATTGGCAAACTAAGGCCCAGAAAGAGAAAATGACTTGCCCAAAATCTTGCTAGACCTGAAGGTGGGTTCAGGGTTCTGCTGTGATGCCTAGAGGCTGTGTCTCTTCACTGCAGCCTCCTTCCCCACCTGGCCCTCCCCTCCCAGAAGGTGTGCTCAGAGCTGATGCCTTGCCCCCCTCTTCCTGCCTCTCCCAACCAGGTGCCGACATCATCATCACCTACTACACACCTCAACTGTTGCAGTGGCTGAAGGAGGAGTGAGGGAGAGACTGTGAGACCCAAGACCTAGGACTTTAGAAAGTTCTGGGGCCTCGGAGAAGTGAAAGCCAAAGTAAATGCTGCTTTTAGAACTGTGCCCATGCGTCCTTCCTGCTTGCATGCTGGTGGCTGCCCAGCAGCCTGGGTCGTCTCTGCCAGCTTGCTGATCTGTACCACTCTTGCAATACATCTGCATGGGTCCTCCTAAGCGTCCCCACTGCTGTCCCAAGGCAGCCATGAGGCTCACCTTTGCCACCCCCAGCTCCTTACTCTGGCATGGCTTCAGCTTGCAAGCAACCAGGAGTCCTGGGTACAGACTTGGCAGGCCTGAGAGAGGGGCTTGGAGCTTTAGAGGAAGTGGAAGCAGCTGGATCTTGGACCCTAAGAAGCTCCAGAAGACCTGGGGCCTCAGGCAACAGAGCTGGGTGCTGGGACCGAGGTCTAGATTGACATCCCTGGGCTTAGAGTTGAAATTTGCTGTGAATCCACTGCAAGGTGTTTCCCTCACAGGCCGGTGGTTGCCAGGCTGCCTGAGATCTGTTCTACCCTGAGCCATAAAACAGAAGAATTACTCACTAAGGAGCAGAAACATTGCCTGAGGATCAGAATCCCGAAACAGGGAGTTTCTGCTGGAGACGCTGCCACCACAAACGCGTGTTACTCAAGAGAAATGTCTGGAAACCTCTGCTTTATGCCCAGGCACGAGCTGGTTACTAGGAAAACAATGACCAGACTTCAGCTGGCCTCTGGAATTTATACAAACAGAGTAGAGGAGACAGAGAAGAAGAAAACAGACAAAATAATTACCAATTGTGATAAGTGCTGTGCAGGAAACAAAGTGTCTGCAACAGAGAATAACAGGAGAACCTCTCTTAAAAGGGTTGTTGAGAAACCCTTCTAAGGTTGAGACCCATGAGGGACAGGGACAGAGCCAGACAAAGAGTGGAGGGAGGCATACAAGAGGCTGCAGGAACCACACGTGGGCAAAGACCCTGTGGTAGAAGGAACTAGGAAGAGGAGGGAGCGTGACAGAGCTGGGGTTGGAAGGGAAAGCCAAGGCCAGACCCCACACCTTGTGGGGAGCACAGGGTTTTATTTTGTATCTGATGGGAAGGATTTTAACCAGGAGTTGTGTGTGGTCCAGTGTCCCGTATTCTGCTGTTAGGGGAGAGATGGAGCAGCAAGAGAGACGGGGTGTAACAGTGGAGGTAGGAAAAGGCGGATGTGCAGGGGAGACGCTTTGGGGTTAGCAGATTTCGCCAGTGCTCTAACTCCAGAGGCGATGAAGGGTAAGGAAGGAGAGGAAATGAGGACGCGTTTCCGACTCAGGCAACTGACTGGATGGTTTCAATTTCTTCTTCAGAGACTGACATGGCATATCTTTTCCCCCTAGTAAAGTGAAGGCCCAGCTAAGAAGGGACCAGTTTGCAGGTGATCTGCAGAGTAGCAGGGAACCACCACTCTAGGGCCAAAGCAAGTTTTTTGTTGTTTTCATTGCCAAGGGCACATCACTTACAGGGGTTGGGGGAGAGAAGAAAGCTGTGGAAGAAAGTACCTGTCGGTGAGTCATGGTCACATCATAACCCTTTCTTCATTTCTCCATCCCGTCAGGATTTGAGGTATGTGCTCACATGCACCTGGTGTGTTTTTCAAGTCAGCGGGGCCTAGGTTCAAATCATAGCCATGAGGATATCCAGCTCAACTACTAGACTATTGGCTAGTGCTCAAAGCAAGTTTAATTTGAACCTTCAAGCAAAACAACCCACTTTAAAATTTAGAATTATAAACTCATAGGAGCTCTTGTAGTCAGATCAGTCACTCTGGCTTCTCCTGGTAGACTTCCTTCCCCAGGAAAGTGGCTAACTCACTAAAAGACCTGAGCTCACCCTATCAGCTTTCTGGAAGGCTGCCAGTCAAAATCAGGACTTGAAGAGTCCTTCCATGGAAGCTGAGCTGGATCACCCACCTGGGCACTGGCCTAGCAGCTACTGCAGCTATTTCAACCATCTGAGCCTCCTGTCATCTGCCCGGGAGCTCATTTCTTGTTCAAACAAGAAGGTGCCTCAAGGCGATCTCAGATTCACCCTCTGTTCTGAGTGTGAGACACATGCTGTTCTTTAGGTGCATGCAGTCCAGAGGAACCAAACATCCCTGTCCAGAGCCCTCGGGGAGCACGAGGGAAAACACAGTGGAATGAGGATTGTCTACCTGAGAACCGGGAGACACAAACATGTCCCAGCAATGTGGTGACAGGTACTGCGAGGGAGCTTACCAGGACCTGACCTGCTTGGAAGGATCCACACACACTGGCCTGAGGGACTGACATGTGAACCTAGACCTGAAGGCTGAGCAACCACGCTAAGCCACGGTGGGGGAAGCTCATTCCAGGCTGAGGGAATGGAAGTGCAAAGGCAGTCTGGGCAGGAGGCTGAGAGAGACTAGGATCAAATTCAGGGACACGAAGGCCACCTTGGCCTTTGTAGGCTTCATTTAGTGAAGGAAGCCATTGAGCAGGGAAATGAATGAATCAACACTTTACAAAAGGATGTGGCAAAGTGTAAATGAGATGTTAATGACCTGGACTGCAGTGGTGACAGGAAGGAAAAACGGGGTGGGTTTAGGGTGTTAAGAGGGAGAGTAGATGGGAGAAGTGAACTTGCCTTGACCTTGGGTGACTAATGGGCTGTTTACTGAGGTAGGAAAGCATGGAAGAGGAGCCAGAACAGGGTCAAGATGGAGGCGAGATACTAACTTTAGCTTGGGTTGTTTTGCAATAAGGAAGAGATACCCAGAGAACTTTGTGACTCACCTAAAGCCTGTCGTTTGTGGCAGAACTGGATTAGAACTTCAGATGCACAGAAAATACCAGCTGGGATGTGAACCCAGGTGGTCTAACTTCAAGGTCTCTGCCTTTAACCACTGTGCCATACAACCTCCCAATAAACAGCAAAAATATGCCTCTCTCTATAATGTTATAATTGAGCCATCAGGCATCACGAGCATTGTGAGTGGCGCCCTCTGGAGTCAGGACTTGTCACTGCGGGCGGCAGCCCACAGTGTTCTGTCTACAGAGGCAGTAACCGCCAGGTTGCAGACAACTGGAAGGGTCTGGGTGGTCTCGGGGACCTGGCTCCTTCAGAGCCCCACCCTCTGCTGTGTGAGCTGTCCTCACCGGTAGTCATTTCATCTGTGGTCAGAGAACTCAGTTTCCGTAACCTCGTATATTATCCAGATTTCCAGGTGTCACAGGGGTTAGTGAGCCTAAGCGCCTCTATTAGCAAGACTGCATTGTCTTGATTTTCTCTCAGATGTGCTAGCTAGGATTGTAGTTTGTTCCTTTGAAAAGGCAATAAGTAGCCAACACTTTCCAGCGACCTCACTTTTTTTTTTTTTTTTTAAGAAATTTTTGCTACGGTGCATGTGTGCTCATGGGAAAGACAGAAAAAATGAGAAATCAATCCCCAGGGGGGATGACCATGCTACAATCCCCTCCCCTCCAGTCTCCTCTTGGGACTATGGACATGCACCCAGTGTGAGTCCCAAGGCACCAGGTCTGGCAATCAAACCACAGTCAGCCCTGTGAAAGTCCAACGCCTCAACCACCACGCCACCTGCTGGCCTCCCATCAGCCTCACTTTTAGTTTTACTAAGAGCCCTGAAATTCTAACCTCAGTGGGTATATGATTGAGGGTTCCAAAAATCAATGGGCCTTTTAGCCAGCCTCTTCACTAGCTGAGAGCACAGCCTGCCAGTTCCCCGTGTAAAGAAGGAGAATGCTGACCTGCACCATGCCTCACCGTGGCCTGCACAAGTCCATGTTAGGGCCTGTGACTTAACCACAATCCATTCTCTATAGCTCTCGGTGTTCTTGGTTGCAAGTGACAGAAACCCCGTTCAGAAAAATTTAATTTCCTAGAAGGCACTTGCTAGAGAGACAGAAGGAAGTGAGAAAGCACAGCCCAGGAGACATGGTCATGCTACAATCCCTTCACCCTCCATTTCTCTTTGGGATTTTGGGCATGCATGTGCCCAGCATGTTTCTCAAGCCAGATCCTGGACTTGAACCACATGGTCAGCCATATGGGATCCAGCTGCCTTCATCACCACACCACCAATAGGCCCCCATAAAAGGAAATTACTGCTTTCATGACTGGATCACAATAAAGACAGGTGTGAGTAGATCCAGGGTCAAAGGCTGTCATGGAGGACTCTGTCCCTTTCTGGCTCTGATCTGTTTGCCTCGGCTCGGCTTTATTCTCAGGTGGCCTTTGACCACTTCGCAGCAATGTGACTGACACTCTAGGTTTAAATGTTAAGATTTACAATCCCAGAGAAAGATCCTTTCTGTCCCATCACTCACATAGCAGATCTCAGGTCTCTTGATTGGCCCCGTTCAGGCCACATGGCCCAACTCTTGGCACAGTCACTGTAAATAGTGACACAGGAGATGGGATGCCATGGTTTACCTCCTTACCTGTGAGGCCCCAGAGCTTTCTTGTCACTGGCCCCCTTAATCTGGAATGCTTTTCCCTTAAATGTACATAGAGCGGTCTCCCGTTTGTGGTTAAGATCTAAGCCTAAGTGTCACTTTCTCAAGGAACCCTGACCTAACACCCAATCCACCGCCATTCTTCACTTCGTGCGTTAGGATTCAGGCTCAGTGGATTTCAGGAAAGTCTGAACACAAATCAGAACCCCCCATGTGGGAAAGCCAGGCAGAGCATGGTGTTTACTGCTGCACCACCATCCAGCCCCATCTCTATGTAGATTTTAATAAAAAGTTAACTTCCAAAAATACATAAATGTGGGCCACCTGGTGGCGTGGACGTTAAGGTGGCCAGATCCCACGTGGCCAATGTGCAGTTTGAGTCCTAGACCTGGTGGCTTAATAAACACCGGGCATACCAATTTCACAGGCTGTAATGATATATAGTGATTGAGTATAAAATAAATCTAAGGGACCAGCAGATGGTGTAATGGTTATGTCTCTGAACTCCCATGTAGTTGACCGTAGTTGTGTCCCGGACCTGGCAGCTTAAAACACTCCAGCAGGTGTGTGTGTACCCAAACTCCTGAAAGGAAGGTTATGGCATGGTCATCCCTCTTGGGGGGTGATTTCTGGCTTGCTTTCTCTCTCTGCCAAGCACACACACCTTATAGAAAAAAATCTCTCTACAATTAATAATAAACTTTTTTTTTTTAATTAAAAAAAGAAAACGCTGGGCCTGTGTGTGTGTATGTGTGTGCTCAAATTCCCAAGAGGAAAATGGAGGAGAAGGGATTGTAATGTGGTCATCTCTTCTGGGGGTACTTTCTCATATTTCCTCTGTCTCTCTCCAGCAAGCACACCTGCCCGATAGCACATTTATTTATTTTAAATTCTTTCTTTCTTTATTTTTAATTTGACCAGAAAGGGACAGACTGAGAGAGAGAGAAAGTGAGAAAGCAAGCTGCCAGGTCCAGGATTCAAACCTCGGTCAGCTGTGTGGGAGTCCAACACCCTTAACCACCACGCCACCTGCCGGCCCCAGCAAATTTTATAAAGGAAAAAATGTTAACGTCAAAAAAGTTAGTGAATTGGGGACCAGTAGTTAGCGTAATGGCTATGTCGCTGGACTCCCACGTAGTCGACCACGGTTCGAGTCCCGGACCCGGTGGCTTAAACTCACACCGGGTGCGTGTGCGTGCATGCCCAAGATCCCTAGAGGAGAATGGAGGAGAAGGGATTGCGGCGTG